ACTTCCCCCCCTTAGTGACCTGGCATGGTGTCCTCCCTTCTCTTTGCTTCGCTAGGAGACGGTGACAAGAAGAGCATCCCTGGGCTTCACCCATGAATGAAATCCTACTGCTGTGGTTGTTCCTACGAAACAGCTGTTAGCCTGCATTTTTAGTTTAGAAGCTTCCTGTCCTTAACCATGGCATTGCTTATAGGTTTGTATCATGCTTTTAATGTTTTATGACTGTCTTCCCAGTTTATATCCCTTGTGCATGGGGACCACATCGAGGTTTCTCTTACGCTGTAAAGCATCCAGCCCACAGCTCAACACTTAAGAGGGGCTCAATAAACATTTATTGATTCATAATTAGAGCTACGTGGGAAAGCAGTTCAGACAAGAGCTGAACCAGTCAGGCACTGTTAGGCAGCAAAACGGATGACCTAGTAATGTCAGCGCTACCTGGTTAGGTAGCCCTGTCATCAATCATATAGCTCAGGCGCAGTTAAAAGGATGCCGTAATCCTGGCTTGTCTTTTTTCTTCCCGGACCCAAGAAGAAATGTCACTCTGACTGCTCTCCTGAAATGGATTTTAAAGGGGCTTTGATATTCTAAGCATTCTACCTTGGATCTTTAAGCCCAGCTAATTCTCTTCTCTGTTCACACTTAGTTTTATCCTCTCCACAGCCCCCACCTGCTTTATGTTCTTCCTGGGGGTACGCTTGACAATTTGCCTCCTTGCTTCTTTAGGTACAATCCTGGTCCTAGCCATCTCTCTGTACTGATCTCTGTTTAGCAGCATGTAGTAGAGTGTTTTGCTCAAAGTAGGAACACACAACTACTTACCATATGGAACATACGGCACTTAATTGTAATGAGTTGTTCCAGCCCATGAGGTAGATGTTATTATTATAATACCTATTTTACAGATAAGCGAACTGAGGCAGAGATTCAGTAACTTGTCAAAGGTCTCCACTGCTAGCAAGTGTTAGAACTGGGACTTGAACCCAGGCAGTCTGGCTTTGGAGTTCACGTTCATAAACACTGCACATTGCTGCCCCTCAATAAATGGTTGATCACAGATGGATTGAATCAAAGGTAATAATAGCAAGTTCTCAGAATAATGAAGTTGCTTTACCAAGAGGTGAAGGGCACAATTCGGGTAACGATTGTCAAGATCCATCTTTTAAGAATGTCACAATTTATATTATTTGAGTGTGGGGTACTCTTTCACTTCTCTACTTCATTAAGTAGAAAAAGTCCAAATTTCCTCTAGAGTGGTGCTTCTCAAACAGGAGCATTTGCATCTGCCCCCCACCACAGGGGGTGCATTTGACAATGTCTGGAGACATTTTGATTGTCATGACTAGGGCAGGGTTGGGGGCAGGTTGCTACCGGCATCTTAGTGGAGAAGAAGCTAGAGACACTACTAAACATACTTCAAAGCACAGGAGAGCCCCTCCGCCTGGCAAACAATAAATTATCCGGCCCAAAATATCAACAGGTGCAGAAGTTAAGAAACCTTGTTCTAGAAAGATCCCAAGTCTAACCACTTAGGAGGCCTCTGATGTGGCTCACTTTTGACTATACACTCAGAAAAGGAAAAAAAAAATCATTAATTTTAGGATAAAGCATTGTTTGAAAATCTTCAAAGGTCCGCCAGTCACTGTGAACATTTTTCAATGACATAAATCTGAATTTAGACTTTCATTCAGTCGATTGTTCAATCAAGGATGCATCCCACCCCTCAAAGCTACCAACAGAATTACATGTAATCCTCCTCCAGTAAGAAAGTGACTTGATGAACAACAGTAGCACGCAGGCTTCCTCCTGTATACAGAAGCTTCTTTCCTCTTCTGAGGGGCTTCTCTAAATTGGAGAATTCTTAGAAATTATGATGTGATCTCATATGGCTTTTCTTTCACCAGATAGAGGTGTCGAGGCAAGGCAAGAATTTGCTCTCCCCAGTGGACTCTTGACTCATTTGTGGAATTTAGCTATTGTAGATGTGGAATGATGTAAAAATATGATCTCAGTTCAAGTTTACCATGTCTTAAACAACATTACATTAGGAGGAATCTGTTATACATCTGGAAAGGGAGCTATTAGTCACTTTGCAATGAGCATTCTTGAATTTCAATAAAGATATTTTACGTTATAGGATCCAAACTATAAATAGAAAGTAGCAAAACATAAATGTCCTAGATTTTTACAATTTTTAAGGGCTGTTTTATGTGCCATGAATAGAAATAACGATGCTATTTAATGAAGGAATTTTATAACCTAGGGAAGACAGAGCCTTACACACTGAGTCATCTGTCACACACTGTCCACCCCCCCACCCCCAGCACTCCCTCACAGCCACGTGGGGCATTCTCTTCTTGGGGTCCCAGCTGAAGGAAAACCATCTGGATAAAGCCACCTTCTCACTTGAGATCATTTTCTTTCTAGAAGCTCAGATATGAGAATTGCTATATTGAAAAAGTCAAAGTGGCTATAATCTGCTCCTTTAACCCCCAAATCGATGGCCATCTTGGGAGAAGAGCCCCACCATCCTCTATGTTCTACTATACACATGATTTTTTCCCAGATCGTCTATATATAATTTGTCATCACTAGATGCTTTGTGGAAACGTCTTTGTAAGACAAGAGAAGTCAAATGTGTTAGATCAAGGCACATGACTAAATACAAGGACCAAGATGAAATTACTTCATCTTTAACTTTTCATTTTCAAGTCAACAGAGTTGTTATAAAATCATGCTCCCTGCCCCGCCCCCCCCCCCCCCCCAAAAGCTACTGTTGGAGGTTTCCTAAGTACAGATGGGAAAGAAAGAATTTTCCTCTCTGATTTCAAACATCCTGCAGTTATTCGGGCTATTTCTTCTGAACAGCACCTGAATCCAGCAGGGCCCAAAAGAAAGCTGTGCTACAGATTTCTTAGTCCCCCTCCTGCGTTTTTGTAGCTTCACATTTTAGATGTAAAATTTCACTTGAGAGTTTCATAGAAAAAGCATCCTCAAGATTTATTTGCTGTTTAATAGTATGAAAGGGCAACGGAAATTGGTTTGGCGCTTTATAGGGCTCCGCACTCAAAATGTAGACTTTTAGGGGTTGAACTCTTAAAACACACCGATTAACTGTATCTAATAACAGCAGAGGCGCAAACAATGGGCTCTGATTTTGTGCTTCAGTAATTGTTTCTGGCGCTCTCGTTTTGAAAAATTTTTCTTTGCCATAGTACTTGCATTCATTTTTCAGAAATAAAATCTATCAAAGATGCTCTTTCTTTCCCCATTGCTGCATACTGTGCTAATATACTAGCTGGGGCAGTTATATTTTAAATGGCCTGTATATATTTAGCAGCAAAATTATGCAAATGCTACCATGTTTATGACTGTAAATATCCTTCAGGAGCAGCTACTTAGCATCAAGTCCTGAAACAATTTCTTAAGAGTTCTGGTTGAAGTGCTCAGAATTCACCCCTAAGTTTACTTCTCTGCTGGGTGAAGGTGTGGCTCACAGGTCTCCCTCATCAGGTAGAATATTACACAGTGGTAAAAAGTATGGATTCTTTGATATGGACATTCTATGCCACTTACTGGCTTTGTGACCTTGAGGAAGTACTTAACCTCTCTGAGCCTCAGTTTCTGCATCTGTAAACTAGGGATGATGAGGGGCACCTGGGTGGCAAAGTCGGTTGGGTGGCCAACTCTTGATTTGGCTCGGGTGATGATCTCAGGGTCCTGGGATCCAGCCCAGCGTTGGGCTCCGCGCTCAGCTGGGAGTCTGCTTCAGGATTCTCTCTCTTTCACCCTCTGCCCCTCCCCCCATGTGCTTGCTCTCTCTCTCTCAAATAAATAAATAAATCTTTAAAAAATCGGGATGATGATAGTATGTAGGTGATACTATCCTTTTGGCAAGAAATGGGGAATAGTGGTTCTAATAAAGTGCTGAGTCACTGAATATCCAGATCTTATTTCTTACATCCCTTCTGAATTCATAGATGACAACAGGTAAAATGCCTAACCTCTTTCAGACTCAGTTTCTTTAACTAGATTTTTATTATGTTGGCTTCTTTCAACCAATTTAGGCTAGATAAATTTCCTCTATCAAAATTAGCTCTCCTATTATTATATGAAATTTGGAGGGTCTTTAAAATGCACTGGGCTGGGCGCCTGGGTGGCTCAGTTGGTTAAGCGACTGCCTTCGGCTCAGGTCATGATCCTGGAGTCCCGGGATCGAGTCCCGCATCGGGCTCCCTGCTCGGCGGGGAGTCTGCTTCTCCCTCTGACCCTCCTCCCTCTCATGCTCTCTGTCTCTCATTCTCTCTCTCAAATAAATAAATAAAATTAAAAAAAAAAAAAAAGTATAAAATGCACTGGGCTGGTAAGTTACACAAAAAAAGTGTGTATTAGAAAATAAATTTAAATACTCAGAGTGTCTCATTCCCTAGAAGATTTTTGCTGATCTCAGTTACCACTTCTGAGTGGGTATTAAATCTAAACCATCCTATTCTCATGCAAATTCATATTTATCACCCTAGATGACAGAGAGTGACACATTCTTTCCATTTCCCAAGGCCAGATGAGAAAGCAAAATTGCACTCTGTAAGGAAAAATACAAATTGCCATTTCAGACGTTAAAACTTGAACCACTCACTCCTTCTTTTCAGTGGCAGATCAATTATCATGAGCTCCTGATCTATTTGTCCAAATGTTTTCTGCTGATCACAATTTTCTTTCCTTTTGTTCAGATTTATACTAACGATGCCGCTGTTCGACCCACACTCTGCAGGCCCACACTGAGTGCAGTGTGTGTCTGCCCCCCCCCCTTGGCACGGGTATTGGCCTGCGCCACTTGACCCCCATGGATTCAAAAATTCTTTGCAGACCGGGATGGCCTTTGATCCTACTCTGTGGCTTCTCCGTGCTGCCCGGGAGGCTGTTCCCTTGGTTTGACCCTGCAGATCAACCCTCAATCACTCACAGGCACAGACCACCCTGGGCTGCCCTCACCACCTTACCTGGTCTCTCTATCTTTGGGTATGGTAGCCGTGCTGTAGGCAAACACTTGCTTCTCAACTAGAGGAGGGCCGAAGTCCACAATGCTGGCTAATCCTGGAGTGGTCCGCGGCTTTTCAATATACACCAAGGTGCCTGGCTCCTTCTTGAAGGTCTGGCGGCTCGGGGAGGCCCGATCTGGCTGCAAGGTGTGAGGGGGCCCGTGGGCGTTATGGTGGGCGTGCAGGTCTACCATTCTCAGGTCGCTGACTCGGTGAGGAGAAGCGGGGGGTGTTTTGGAGCCCAGAGTGGGCAAGTGGCTTTCTGGATATTTCCTCGATTTCTGTCTGTACAGCGACTGCTCCATATGCATTTCCGCTTGCAAAGAAGGGTTGCAGTAAGCACTCGCCGAGCGGATTGCTGTGCGGTGATACGCAATGATGTGATCAGGGACATCTAGCGGGTGCCCGCCATGGGAAGAGGCTATGCTCATCCGTCCCTCGTGATAAAGGTAAGGATCAGTATAGAAGCCCTCATTCCGGTACATCGCAATGTTCTTGCCGCTCATGTCTTCATCCGGCTTTACATCTCTTCTTTCCAAAATGGCACTCGGGCTGGGTGAGATGGATCTGGAGACTGGCAGGCTGGAGAGTCTGTCCCTGGGGATGGTGGCGTTGCCAGGAACAATCATGGGGCGGGTGCCCCCGTAAGGAATTCTGGATGGGGAAGGAGGCATGGAATGGGGCACAGGAGTGGACGGTGGAGAATTTGGAATGGCATGGGGTGGATGAGCTGTGGATCCAGGTCGAGAGGCACCAGGGCCATCTCCTCTTGCATAAACAATTTCTCTCTGCATCTGAAAATAAAACAAGAAGTTAGAAAATCTACTTTGATATTCGTGTTTTTAGAGACGTCCCAGGGTGACAGTGTGGCTTTCCTGCGGCAGGAGGCTGAACGGCCCCTCCTTCGGCAGCATGTCCACACTCTGATCTTTGGAACCGATAACTACGTCACCTTCCATGGTCGGGGGGACTCTGCAGATACTCCTTTGTAAGAAGACTGAGCCAGGAAGATTATCCTGGATTATCCAGATGGACCCAATGCTACCAAGCTAACATGTGGAAGAGGAAGGAGGTGTGAGGACAGCAGCTGGGTCAGAGAGAGACTGAAAGATGCTCTACCACTGATGGTGAAGCTGGAGGAAGGGCCCAGGAGCCCAGGGATGCAGGTAGCTTCTAAAAGCTGGAAAAGGAAGGAAATGGACTCTCCCTGACAGCTTCCAGAGTGAGTGTGGTTACTGCCGACACCTTGATATTGGCCTGTCAAACCCACTCTGGACTCCTAACGCCTACAACTGTATGATACTGGTTTTAAGCCACTAAGTTTGTGGTCGTTTGTTACAGCAACCACAAGAAATACCCAACAAAGAGCTCGACACATTGTGAGATTTGGGGGAAAAATAGTGCAGGGGTTTAAAGTTTTCAGGTCATAGCTTCTCTGAGACACTCAATAAATGGGGGTCTAATGTATGAAAAGTGCCAACATTTTATTTTCTAAAATTTCTCCTGGGCACATTTTCTAACATTAGCCCTGGAAAATAGTTAAAAACATCTTTCCCATCCTTCCAAGCAGATACAATCTAGAGACATGGCCAGGGAGGGTAAGAAGATGCATAGGGAAAACTTGGAGACAAGTTTCATTCATTCACCAACTCTTTACTTGAGCCTAGGAGAAACCAGCTCCAAGACATTGGGAGACAATAATGATCTGGGAGATAAGAATGCAATTGGAGGAAAAATTCATAGTGGGGAGGACAAGAGAGAAAAACGGGAAGGAAATCTCAGGCATGGTGGAGAGAGGGAAACCCGAGGAGCCTCTCTGGGGCTGCCATGTCATAAGGAGCCTGATGGAGTCATCCGTCATAAGCCAGCTACCTCTTGCCCAGGCAGCAGTGACTTCTGGGCTGTGTCATTAGCATCCAGTTCAAGAGAGTGAGGACTCCCACTGGGTCTTTCATTAGCTATCCTTTGGAAGAAACAATGGCTAAAGAATCAATGACTCAAGAATCACAGATACAGAGAACAAATAGGTGGGTGCCAGAGGCAGGATATTGGGGTTGGGTGAAATGGGTGAAAGGGATCAAAAGATATAACTTGCAGTTATAAAATAAAATGTCATAGGGATGTAATGTACAGCACGGTGACCTAATTAATAATACTGTATTATATATCTGAAAGTTGCTAGGGGAGTAGATTTTAAAGGTTCTCATCCCAAGAAAAAAATGTGTAACTATATATGGTGATGGATGTTAACTAGACTTAGGCGGTGATCATCCGCAATACATACACATATTAAATCATTATGTTGTACATCTGAAACTAATACAATGTTATATGTCAATTATATCTCAATAAAAAAAGAATCAAGTTAATGGGGCAAGGGGAAACTAATTTGCAATTACACTACTGTGTGCAGCAAGGGGCCGAATAAAGAAATACAGATTAATACAAAGTGTGACTATTTGATACTTTTTGTTTTGGTTAAAACCCAGGAGGGTAATAACTAACTCACTGAGATTCTCCAAATGGCTGCAGGAGAAAGGATGGGCAGCCCAGTCTTCAAGTTCTATTTGTGCTGTAACAGGAACCCACATTCCCATCCAGACTTTTGGGAGATGTGACAGACAGGGAGGGCATGAATGGTTGGGCGGGGGGGGGGGGGGGTGAGGTAGGGGCATGAGAAGAGAGGAGGTGGGTTCGAATGGACAAAAACTGAAACAAGCAGTCAAGAGACCCATGGTGTGAGTGATGGGCAACAAGAAAAGAAAAAGAGGGGCAACAGGAGAAGGCTGAAAATGAAACAGCACCCAATGTTCTGAATACAAACCAATTCCTTACTTTATAAATTCATTCATTTAGTAAGCAATATTTACCATGCACTTGCTAAGAACCATGAATTTGATCTAGGATACAGTTCTGACCCCAAGTTCCTGCCCTTGAGAAGGTACATTCCTGTGTACATCTCTTAGATGCATGTAGGGGAAGAAGCCTCAGGAATCCCACAGCTTCCTTATCTTGTCTCTGGAAGACTCCAGAAGTGTAGAATCCCTAACCTGGGAGTTTTACAAATTACGGTGGATTTCATCATGGAAAAGACCAATTAAAAAAAAAAAATGCAAGCAAGATGCAAATACGTAGCAACCAAAAGGAAACCTTTCAGGGTGTTTTACCTGAGCACCATTGAATAGACTCCTGTCCCCTTGGGAGGCCAACTGTTTCCGGGTATTCCCAGAGTATGCATGCTCCTCACGCGCAGTTACAATTTTATCTTCACTAGCCCCACATCCCCAACACATGCACTCCCACAATAGCCTAATCTGTCCCCCCGTCTAAATCAAACTTGGGCCATCCTTAGGCTGTCACCTCTGGGACTCTCTCCCTATATCCTGGCTCTTGTGGATCCAAACCAAGGATGAGGGTCAAGATCGGGCCACAGGTGCATCTGCTCCACACAGCCCAGCCCACATGGTCGTCTCTCTGCTCACTCACTTGACACCCTCATGACTCAGATGTTCAGGCCTTAGACCAGGAGGGCAGTCCCAAGGTCAGCATGTGATGGTACACCTGATTCTCCTCCCACAATGGCTGAGCAACCATATGACAGAAGCTTTGCAGCAGATCTGCACAGATCCTCTACACACATCCTCTATTCCTTCCTATCTTCCACAAGGCAAGGCTCAGTGAAAAGAGATGTGGTGACAAGGCAGGGCTTCACAGAGCATAAAATACAAGAGGGACTGGCTTAGGTGGCAGCACATATCTGACCAAACTCCCCATGCCATCAGACCATGCAATGCAAGATTCAATCCAAACGAAGGTACAGATCAATTCATACAGATTCATACATGTGTATAAAGCATAACACAGTGCTCAAGGCAAATCAAGTGCAACAAATGGTAGGTATTATTGTCATTATTGATATCACTTAAGAAAAAAGGTTTCAGATGTCTAGAACCCACTTGGGATAGACAATAATCCAAACTGCTAGTCCTCTTTATCTGGCTTCAGATTACATCAGGATTTGGGGGATCCTGACCCCAATTAACACACAGTGAATGCCCCCCCCTTTTCTGGCAAAAGAGTAGGAAGACATATTAAGAATCTGAGTAGTACAGAACTGTCTAGAAGGATAAAGAATTAATGAAAGGGGAATGTAAAATTGATTTTAATTAATGAAAAGTTGAATACATTTCTTTTAAAATAACAGAGATGCCTGCATAGATATTAAAGGTTTGATGATGTGAAAAGAAATGGCTAGGAGGTACGTTATAGAACTTTTAAAATAAAACACAAAAAAATCTCATTGGACTTTCTTGATGTCGTGTATAGATGAATTCAGAAAGAAATGTAAGAATTAACAATAATTTTGATACACTGTGCAGTCATACGGGAATGCGGGCGATAGTCAAGATATTTAACATCCAGTAGCTAGTATTACATGGGTACCAACTGAGCAGAATGGGACTTCAGCCAACAAAGATGGATCCTAGCCATACACAATCAGCATCATGTATCTGATGGTAATGCTGCTTATCAGCCTTTGCCTGGTCCACTTCAAACTAATCTTGCCATCACCCAACAGGGTCACTGAAAGAATCACCGTCCACCTGAGTCATCCACAATGGACATGAATGCAAGCATTCAGCTATGACAGAACAGGCAGATCTCCATCAATCTGAGTGACTTGGAGGTTGGAAGCCTTTGGAAGAATTCTTACCTTGCTTTGCCAAACTATGACTGACTTTCCAGGACTGAGTTTTAAAAAGAACCCATGATAATTTCATCCTCAGCTCTACAGAGAGCCCAGAAAGAGAATGACACGATGCTTCTATTATACAGTGGGAAAATGTTTTAAACCTACAACGACAGTGAACCTTTAAAATCTGAAAACCTCGGTTCATACACTAAAGGATATGGGTCGACCAAAGGCGGTCACTCTTAAAACGAGGCAGAAGGGATGGGAAGATGGAAGATGAAAAGAGAATCTTTTTCAAGTCCTCACTGTGATTTCCCAAGGAGACCACTTGCTATTCTAATAAAAAGTAGACTTCATTCATATACTCTGGGAGCTATTCACTGTCTCGTTGACAATTAGGATGATGATTAAGATTCTATGATACATAGTTTTTAGAAGTTTCAGCCTTATATGCTAGTGTTCTTCCCATGGAGATATCTTCCTGGAATCAGGCACCCACACAGTTTTGTTCTGTTTTGTTGTTTAACTGCTCTTTTTTTTGGCCAATGAGTACAGAAATGGCATTAAATGCATATTGAGTTCTTCCTGCACTAGTCCTCAAAGTCAGGCCTCTTAGGAGAAAATTAATATCTAACTTTAAAGGTAAAAGAAATTAGCAAAACACACACACACACACACCACACACAGTTCTTACCCACCTTAATATATCTGCCTCCCTTCTCCCACTAGTCTCTCTGATGTCACTAATCTCCATCATTTCTCTCAAAATATCTGGATATGTTATGTCACTCACACTTTTGTCCCAGAAGGTTTCAACACTAATGTTTTTACGTGAGCCTTGAAGAATTTCATTTTACAGCAAGAGAAACAGAACCTAAACCCAAGAATAAAGGTTCTTTTAACACCTTACCAGAATCCAACCCAGATCTCTATTTGCCTGTGCCTTGGCCCAGACAAAGAAAATGCTCACTATCTACACCAGACACAATGGCAACGTATGAACTAGACTGTTCTCTCTCATTCACCTACTTTGGTGGGCATGGTCTCTCCCTCCTACCATGACCGCCCAAACCCCTGCTCCCTCTTGGTTGAGCGCTTCCA